ACCCCGAACAATGAAATGGCTCTCCCAAAAATACTGGAAGGCCTCTGCAACTCGCAAAAGGGGAGTCAACCTACAGGACTCCCAAAGCACTTTCATCTCCTCATTCCTAGCAATGTGCTAGCGGTACAAAGAGAGAATCATGTCGTTGCCTGAACCATGGCAACGCACATGCTCTCCAGTAAGACCCAACAAAACTCACTAGGAAATGTGGTGAACTGGCTGGAAGGCCAGGGTGTGCTCATCCCACTGAGGAAGAGACCAAGACCGTCTAGTAGAGGCATCGTCTCCCTCTCGTAAAGGCTCATCCTCTCGGTGAGACGAGCAGGAACGTGAGCCAGAACCTCAACGTCGAGCCATACTATTTATTGTTTCCATAAAACCAGTAAATTAAATGGTCTATAGTATCTAAGTTTGCCTAGCCGCATGATACTATGTTTGTCAAAAACAGAGTACAAAAAAGCAAAAGCGGAGCATGATTTTAATTCGTGCAACAACAAATATTATAAGCATCAAAACAATTTCTTGCAAGTTTATGACAAAAATTGCAACAGATTAAGCACAAAGAGCAAGAAGAATCATCAAGAATAAGCTACATTGTACTCATGAACCTAGAGTGTTCAACAATGGTAAATTGCTCGTTTCTTCACCAAATTAAACGATTCTAGTGTCAAATTGTTCACAAAGCAACATAAAAACATATACAAACAATTTCATGACAAGAAATTCAACCAAAATTGAGCAAACAACGAGATATATTTCGGATTTTCCGAAAAAATGCACAAAACACGTTCAAAATTCACCCGAAATAAAAAGAGGTTAAGCAAAACTTACGTAGAACGGTGTGGCTAAGTGAAAATGCAACAATTTGAGACAAATTTGAGTGAATTTAGTTGAGAAACGGCCAAGAATGAGAGCTTTGAAGTTTCGCAGCCACGGCGAGCGAAAACGAACAACCAGCGAAATGAGGAAGAAGAAAGGTTTACATTCGAAAAAATACGAGTTTTTCGTGGCGCAAGAGATCTATCGCGACGCGATGAGCCTGACACGGCGCGATGGACCTATCGCCACGTAGTGGTTCTGATTTTCCCCTGAATCAGCTTTTGAGGGCCCCACAATTTGATTTGTTGGTCCATATTCGTCCATTTGAGCTTCTTGATACGCAATTGAGCCTTTTAGCCTCATAAAGAGCGATTAAATATTTGATTTGATAAGTAATCAGCTCGATTACAATTTTAATTGATGATCGGTCTGATGTTGATCACCTTATTAATTGATTGAGTATGCCTAAGCATTAGTTGAGCACATTTGAGTACACCTAAGCGTTGGTGAGCACATTTGAATACACTTGAGAGTTGATTTAAGTATTGATTAAATAATATTGATTGAGTTAGTGATAAAGCATAATCACAAAGAATTCTTAGGATGGAAGATTTCTACGAAAATTAGTTTGAAGCTCGGTAAGACCTTGAGGAATGAGGTTTTACGGTAGTTTCCAAGGAGAGAGAAGCTACCACTTCCAAGGAGTGAAGGCAAAAAGATTTGAAGACGGCTCAAGGAGTAGTGGTCTTCGACAACATTCCCTAAGATGTGGAAGTTGTCCCCTTTGATTTGATGACGGCTCGAGTAGTGGTCTTCGACAACATTCCCTAGAATGTGGAGGTTGTCCCCCTTTTATTTGAAGATAGGGAAGCACTGCGATCTTCGACGACATTGTCACTTTGATTTGAAGATGGCGAAGCACTACAATTTGCAATCTTCGACGATGATATTGTCATTTTGATTTGAAGATGGCGAAGCACAGCAATCTTCGATGGCGCTCCCTAGGATGTGGATATTTTCAAGCAAAAAAACTTTGATTTAGCGGAATTGATGTTACCTAGAGACGTGTGCTAGGAAAAGCCCAGATACGCGTTTCTTTAACTCCTTTATTTGTGGAACTGACGTTTTCTGCAGATATCGGCGTTAAAAAGGATGGTTTAGGATCGTAGAACGTTCTGAATCATTCTCCGTCCCTATCGATCTACTTTGACTTTTGTTTTCAAAACTTATATTTCTCCAAACTCAGTCAAAGTGGAGGCTTTTGTAGACACTTGATTGTGTCTCCCCAAAAACCAAACCCAGTGATGAGTGCCTTCACGTCTTTGATTATCGATTTAGGTCAAGGGTTGAAGAGTCTCATGAATTTCCCTTAAGCCTTAACCATTTCTAACATTTCTTAAAAGTTTAAACCCAAAATCATTCATTTCATGTCCTTAAAATCATTGATTTCGTGTCCAATTTATAAAAACGTCCAAACTTGTTTATTTTGGTCCACGATCTTAGTCCAATTATTGCTTAGTTGGATGGGGCTTGAAAAGAAATTTCCAACGATATATAATAAGCCTAAACACATCCTTGATACTCTCCTCGATCAAACACCATACTTCCTTCACGAGACTCGAATACTCCTTGCCCTTCTCGACGTTGCCTTCGACCTCGGCGTGAAAGGTTGATAGTTCTAAGGGTTTGGTCCCAAATTAATATTTCAATTCTTATTTGATTTATTTACTTTGTTGATTTAATCTTTCTTGAAGTTACTAACGTGTTTATGGTTTTGATAGCAAGAAGGGAGGTACATCAAAGTGAGTAGATCTACTATCCTTATTCCTTAATTTTGATATAGAAATCATGTTTAGGATATTATTTTTATTCCTAATCTCATGTTAGGATGTTTATTTTAATTCCTAGTATCATGTTAGGGTGTTAACTAATATTTCTAATATCATGTTTAGGTTAATGCTTTGATTATGATTTTTATAAGTGACATGCTATAGTTTGCTATTAATATGTTTAGCATCATGCCTAGGATCTTGGTAATGATGTTTTGATGATGTTATTCTGATGATGATTGTTGTGTCAATGATATGTCACTTGACTATTCATGATTGATTGTTATTGCTTGATCACGCCCTTTCTTGCAGGTTTAAAGAGAATTGGTACTTGAAATCACGACTAATAAGATAATTAATAATTTGATTTAGGCTTAATATGATTTTAATTCAAGTGATCACCAATAATAGATTTGATTGTGCATTAATAATCAACCAACGTAGATTAAACAAGTTTAGAGCTAACTTGATGTATGCATGTTGATCGGAAAGCGCACATGAATATCACAAGAATTTAGTAGAGGCTGATTTAGGGCAGGTTCAATCTCTTTTAGGTTGGATTCGTACCATCATCCCCGAATATCTAGTCATGGCTCCAACCCACTATGGAGTTAACGATCTCCGTGATCGTGAATGGGGTGTAACCTTCACGCCCGTAAACGGTTTACAAGTTACTAAAACTTGTTGGCAATTCCTTTATCTCTAGTTTTCTTCCCTTTGGACGCCACCATGCTTAAAAACATGATCACAGTGGGGTTCAAAAGGTTGAGTTTGAAAACTTTCCTACAGTTATCATAGTCTAATTTATAATTTTTGTTCATGTAAGTTATTTTTAAATTTGTCTACATTACAAAATATATTTTCTATGTTATTTTCTACACTCACTACTAGAAACAGGGCGATTTCCGACGGACCATTTCCGACGGACAGGTTTTCCGTCGCAAATTTCCGACGGATTTATATTCCGTCGGAAATTTAGGACAGACTTCCTACGAAACAAAAATCCGTTGAAATTTATGGGCCTTCCGACGGATTATTTCGTCGGAACCGTAATATTTCGACGGAAATAAAATCCGTCGGAGATTTCCGACGGAATATTCCGTCGAAACTATTATTTTTCGGCGGAAAATAAATCCGTCGGAAAGTTTCGACGGAATATTCCGTCGGAATATTGACGTTCCGACGGAATATTCCGTCGGAACATAATAAAATTAAAAAAAAAAAAAAAAAAAAAAAAAAAAAAAAAAAAAAACCAAACCCTAAAACTTAAAAAAAGCGGTTTCTCCCCACCCCCTTCTATTTCCCATTTCTCTCTCCTCTCTCTCTCTGCCCGCCCCCATCTCCTCTCTCTCTCTCCTCATTTCTCTTCTCCTTCCCCCTGATCCTTTTCCCTTCCTCCTTCCTCCTCATTTCTTTTTTCTTTTCCTCCTCCTCCTTTTTCTTTTCCTCCTTTTCCTCCTTTTCTCTTCTCTCTCCGCATCCCACCGACCATAGCAACACCGAGCAACCACCGTCACGAGCCGCCCATTCTCAAGGTTTTTTTTTTTTTAGATCTTGTAATTTAGGTATGTAATTGTAATAATATTAGTTTATAAAATTATAAATAAAATTGTATATTAATTTATTTCTTTAAATTTTCGTTTGTTAATTATCGTTTTTGTTAATTTTTTTATTGAAATTCTGATTAATATGTAGATCTGGTTTTTTTTTTGTTTTTTGTGTGGTAAAATTTTATAATGTTGTATTAATTTTCGTATTTTTGGGGTTAATTTTCGGTTTTTTGGGGTTAATTTCGGTTTTTCACCGAATTTTTGGAATGGTGGTGGTGTGTGGTGGTTTCGGTGGTGGTGGGGTAGGGGTATGGGTGGGTAAGGCCGTAGGGGGACAGGGGTGGGCTGGTGGGTAAGGGGGCAAGGGGGTGGTGGCTGGGGTGGGCTAGGTTTTTTTTTTTTTTTTAAGTTATTTCCGACGGAAATTCCGTCGGAAGTTTCCGGCGGATTCGTAGTCCGTCAGAATTTTCCGACGGACTTTTCGGTGACCGAAATTCCTCTTCCGACGACAAAAGTTCGTCGGAAATTCCGTCGGAACAGTGTTTTCCGACGGAATTCCGACGGAAAAGGCCGTTTTTCCTACAAATATTTTTCCGACAACCCGTTCCGACGGAATTTCCGTCGGAAACGGCCTTTTCCGACGGAATTCAGGGTGTTTCCGACGGAATTTTACCGTCGGAAATGGCCTGTTTTCTAGTAGTGACTCTAGGATGGAAATCGACTACCAATTGAACCCCTATCGGCCCAACGGACCAGCACCCCCATTGTCATTTCCATCCGCACTATATCAACAAGTCGGGAGAGTATCAGACTCGTAATCAGGAAACAAGCTCGTGTGAAAGATATTTACGTCAAATGGGGGATGAAGCACAACGCGGATGAGCAAAGAGTTAGGCTGTGGTACAATGGAGAAGACTTGAATGACAAGAAATAAGTGGCAGAGGAGGGAATTGTTGATGGAGGTGTTGTCTAGGCTCACATTGAACCTAGAGGGTTTAAAAGGTGTGACCACATCAGGTTCAATGAAGCTTATTACAACTTAGCAAGGCAGGGGTGAGTAGCAGCAAAGAGTACAGGATAGGGTTGAGTAGCAGCAAAGAGTAGCAAAAAAAGGAGAATTGATGAAGTCCTCAGAAGGAATTATATAGTAATGTAGGAATTATGAAGTATTGTAGCAATTATGCTAGCATCTAAGTGGTAATATAGGATTTATGCAAGAATTATGAAGTATTGTAGCTAGAATGCAGTAATCTTTTGCTAGAAAGCAGGTATCATAGCTAGAATGCTAGTGTTGTATTGTTTTAGGGTTGTAGGGTTTGTAGGAGCAGCTAGAATCCGGTACAATAATCATGCTAATTTGCAACAATTGAAGCTGATCTATCCATATATAAATAAAGATTGAAGCATGTTATTTGCCTCATTAATTGTTTACGTACAAAACTGATTACTAATAGTTAACACAAATATAATTAACATTTTACTTCTCCAACAAAACATATTATCCATTATGCACAAAAAAAAAAAAAAAAAAAAAAAAAAAACTATCCCTTTTGCACACAAAACCTTCCCATTTGGCAAAAACAAAATATGGGAATCATGTCCAATAATAAACAAGGTAGAGTGAAAGTTACAAAACCAGAGGCTTCAGTAACTCCAGGACATCTTCCCTAGCTTCATTAAATTCCGAAAGGACATATTCGCATAGAATCCAAGATCTCTCTAACAATAGATCTTCGACCTGTAATGAAATAAGCATTTCAAGATCACCAACATAATTGAGTTAACAACCACAAAATATTACACAAATTGAGTGTGAATTTAGTTACTGGTGGCATACGTTTCATGAATTTATCTACGTTACATTTGATTGCTATAATCATGTAACCCCACAACTATGTCTAAAACAACAAGAAATACATAGTTTCCAATAATGCATTGCCTTGCCTAAAAAACATAACCAAAGAGTAGTTCAGAAACTAAATAAAGGGTCAGTTACATGTCTCCCTGTTGCGCCATTTCAAGGGACGTCCTACGCCAATTGACAACGGTGTTAGTTGGCTAAGTAGGATCCATGCTCTGGAATGCAACATCCATTGCAGTTGCCTGCATTGTGACAAATTACACATACAATCATTAATAACACCCTTTCAAATTGAAGTGAAATGCCAAGTACAAAATGAGTTTCAGCTCCTTTATTTACCAATTGAGAAATCTCGACACTCCTGCTGTCACAAGCATCCTTTGTTTCGATTGAGTCAATGACAATAACCTCCTCCCTGTTCATCGAAAAAGCGGCACACCACCGGTGCCCATCACGAAGTACTGGGATAAATACCTTTAATACAAAACAGACACAAAAGGAATCAAGTTCGGATTGAAATAGCCCTAGGAAAATATCAAAAGCAACGCGATATGTAATCCTTTTGATTTATACCACATTAACTCTATAGGGATCGTTTCCTTCAATCTTTTACAGTAAGCCCTAACATTGGTCTCAATCGCATCCATCCATCCATTACAGCTGAGGATCATCATCTGTGTAACATAAGCACCATTCCATAAGCAACTAAATATAACAATTGAGGGATTTATCATAAGCATCATCCTTGCATACAAAAGTAGCTTACTCCAAATGTGGGATCTAGCATGAACCACATACTCTTACCAACAAACTGCCTCTCCCATTACTTCTCATAGATTTTATGTAAAGTTTGCTAGTAGTTAAAATATTTTGCCACTAGTACTTTTTAGAAATTGAATTCTTAAAACTTGGGTTTGGGATAAGATCAGATTATCTGTTCACAAACCTGTCCCCTACAACCTACAACCAACTCGCATAAATTCAGCTTGACATAATCACCATCAAACCTGAGCATAACAGGTTCATTCCTAACCACAAAAAAGCAGAGACTATCACAAAAACAACATAATATGTGCAGCAAAATCATATATGTGTGAAGTTTAGGTAGTACAAACTCACTCTGATTCCTTAAGTATTCCCGACAAATTATCCATACCATACTGGAGCAATGGTTCTCTAAACTTACGAATGTACTTTGGCCTCCATATTTTTACATAGTCAAGTGGCAACATCGGTACCCCATTCTTCTTCCTCTGTTTCCTACTTTGCTCGGTTTTTCTCTTAAGCGCTTCTTTCTGTGCAGCGGTCCTCTGATGTGTTGGGGTCACCGGTTCGTCTTTAGAGTCTTAGGTCACCACCAGCACATCCTCAGCAACAGTATCAACAAGATGTGGCTGCATTTCCACTCTGCCTTGCACCTGCTTCTCCACTCTCCTCTACTTTCTCCTCTCCATTTCCGGTTTCTTGTACCTTATCCTCTCCAAATCCCACCTCCTCAACCTTGTCCTGATGTGGCACATTTGCCGATCGATTTACATCCTAATTTTCCTCCTGCTGTACATGTGTCACATCTACATTCCCCATTTCATTTCCAGACCCTGCATTTTCTTTGTACTCATGCCCAACCTTATCCTCTCCATTTCCCACCTCTTCTACCATGTCCTCATGTGGCACATTTGCTGCATTTTCCCTCTCATGTACACATGCCGCTTCTCCATTCTCATCTGCATTCCCCAAATCACCTCCAGACCCTCCATTTTTTTTGTCATCTATCCCAGCATTTTTCAAGTCCTTTCTCCTCTACCCTCTCCACTCCCTTCTCCTCTTCATTCATTTTATCTTGACCCTCACTTAGTTGTGCCTCAGCACCTCCAATTTCTTGAGTCTTCTCCTCTCTCCTCTCCTCTCCCTTCTCCTCTCTCCTCTCGTCTCCCTTCTCCTCTCCATTAATTTTTCCCTGCCCCTGAATTTGTTGTGACTCATGTGGAATTCCTTCAACATTGTCCTCTCTACCAATGTTATCAGGACCTTCTAACTATTTATCAAACTTTTCCCTTGGTACACTGCATCAAAACTGTTGAATGTACAAAACTATCATATTCATTGGCCAAATTATACTTGTACCCAGTGTATTTACCACCACCAATCTCAATGGTCAGTGGTTCCTCACTAACAAAATACCTTGTATTTTGTAAGTTTGCATTAACATTCCACACTAATGTATCAAGATGGACATCAGCATTTGAGTTAACCTCTTCCTTAGCATTTGAGTTAACCTCTTCCTCCTTATCACTTTCAACTACAACATGGAGCTAGTCACCATGAAAAACTTTTTCATTGAACTCCTTCACTACATCCCCCTTATTAACCTCCTGTTCAACTTCCACACTGTCTTCCTTAAATCTTCAAAACCATTCACATCATGTTCATTATCATAACCCTCTTCATTAACTTCAGGCTCCTCTTGAACACCTAATCCCTCACCCCTCTTCTTGCCTGGGAAGCATTATCAGTCCCTACATAAAATCAGTATAACTTGTTAGTATTTTACCAATTACTTTATTGTAGATTAAATTAGGATACTACCTACCTTTACCTTGTCGAACCTTTTTCTTCATAACACACATCCCATCCGACATTGCCTGTCTTCTCCGCTTAACATTGTGGTTACCCTCTTTCAGTTGTGGATCATGTTGACTCCCCTCTCCAACATCTATCGGCCGACCAAACGCCCGATCAGACGTTGCCTTTATTCTCCTCTTAATATTTCGGGTCATTCTCTCCAAATCAACTTCATCTACATCCACTGGGTCATTTTCCTCTATAACGTCCTCGTCCAGAACATTGTTCAAATTAAAGCATTCAGCACCTAAGTGATGGAAATAACATTGATTCTAGTCACATGTTAATCCACCAACTACATACAAACAGGTATATTTACAACACAACACTTACATTTTCACAATCCTTTTTCCTCCTACCAGGCAACAAATCTATAGCTTTAAATGGGTGCCAATGCCCATACATCACGCCATCCAAACACTACAGTACATTTAATAATTAAATAATATAAGTTTAAATAGTGCCATAAATAACAACAAACATATTTAAAATTCCCTTAACACTCACCCCACGTTTTCCAAAATCACCAGAATCAAGCTGATCATTAGATTTTGCCTTGTTCATCTCCTGCCTAGACCATACTTTAATCCTAGAAAAATCCCCCCACTTGAGAGGAATGCGATGAAGGCGGTCCAAATAAAACACTTGTAAATTTAAGATACAAATAACATATTCAACTATACAGGTTATAGTATAATTCACTGCATTTATACTCATACGTACCGCCAAAAACAAAGTACATCCACCACTACTCGTTGTGTTAACATCCCTTGTAATCCTCACATTAGAATAGAACCTTTTACTAAACTGCTCTAATTCTTTCATTAGCTCATCTAGAACAAACTCACACCAATTATACTCCAATGCATTGTCTTCCACTACAACACTAAGCAACTTCTTCCTCAAATAATGGCATGTTGATGAACAAAGTGCATCCAACACATACATCAAAAACACCTTATTAAACTCACTTTTATCGACGCAAGGAGCCTCCAATTAATAAACCATAGTCTTCCTAGTAATGCCTCTTGTCCCACATCTTGTAGTTGTACTATAGGTATCATGTAGTCTTTCCACCAACTCCTTGTCCACTGCCTTGGTAGGTACAGCTCTTGGACCATAGGGAAGACCCAACACACCTGAACTCCGTCCAACGGAAATGATTTCCCATCAACAGTCAACAACCTTCTTGTACTCACATCAACTCTAGCACAAAGTCACAACGTCAATGTTCGTCGCAGCCCAACACAATAAAACAAGGACCCAAACCCCATTTCTTTAACTATACGCTTCTTTGTGTCGTCGAAGCTATCTAAAATCCTACCTATTGTCTCCACGAGGCAGTTAACATTCATTGCCTGCAAATTAAAATTAAATAACCACAAGGATTAACTGTAACTAACAGTTGTGATATCATTATAAAATATTGCTATACCAAAACCAAAGCTAACGGATGTGATTTTCATCTTGTTATACCTTCTTCTCCCGAACCAATACGCTCTTAACCGAAACAATAACTATCCCTGCCTCTTTCACCATGCCTCCTGTAGTTTTGGTATTATCCTGCACAAACATAAACACCACACTCACATAATTTTCCACTTAAAACTAATCTCAAATCATATGCACAATAAACAACTCACCACATAAACCTTGGGATCAAATTTACGTTTCCATAACTTCGCTTTGCGTTCGGCCTTTTTCACTTGCATTAACCAACATTATCAACTTTAGACATACACTTATTAACTCTGTTACCACTGTTATTACCTAAAACTCAATTTACACTTTTATGACCTCATCACCACTATTGTAACAAAGAGTAACATTTGCACTACACACAGCACTATATGATTCTACTTCCCTTTCCGATTCAACTTCAGGTTCATACACAAAATCCAATTCTGACATTGTTCTAGAGGAAGAATCAGAGGTTCTTAGAGAAATTGAATCACCAAATTCATAGAATATATCGATGACTAATTTATGTCTTCCCCCAACTCCTTTAACTTTACCACCACTCACACCAGCTTTCCCTTTGCCTCCTTTAACTTCAACACCACTCAAACCACCACCACTCACACCAGCTTTCCCTTTTCCACCTTTACCTTTACCACCACTAACATTTCTGTCATTTCCATTACCTGAACATCAATAATTAATCGTACTAAGCAATCTAATCAACCAGAATTCAAAAAATATAACAATCATTCAATTAATTCATCAACAAGAATTCAACAAGCTTTCAATAAATTTAACCTATTCTTACTTCAACAAATTTCATAACTATTAACACATCTCTACAAGCATTCAATGAATCATATTCTTCTTCACAAGCTCTTCAACTAATCAACATTACCTAAATTAGTACTAAACAAATACACTTATGACTCTTCAACTAATCAACATTCAACTGTTTAACTACATGCAATCACGTATTTAACTAAACAAATAAACTTTTGTGATATTAAATTATGCTTTCAATTCATCGAATTCATACAATTCGTTCACGGACTCCACTAAAAACGCAGTTCCAAAAAACCCAAGTTCGAAAATCGTTCTACTAATTATCCTAATTATATATCAAAACTACAACCCCAATTACCCAATTACATTATCATACAACTACACTGAAAACCCTAATTACGAAAAATTTGAAAGCTTCAACCACAATTGTTATCGCAAATTTGAAAAACCCTAATTACGGAAATTTTAAAATTTGAACTGACCTCTGCCCTTCATTGTAATGACAAGTCTATCTTGCTACACCCTGGTAATTCTCGTCGACGACACTGAAGAAGATGGCAGTTCGATGGAGGATGACTTTGCTCTTGCTCTTGCTCTTGCTCGACACGAAGTGGGAAAACGACAAGATGGAAGAAGGTGAAACGGGGAGTTCCAATTCAAATGGGTAGCTTTGCTTTTTATATGTGTATTAAGATACGTATATAGTATTTACATACACTTACTTAAATGCAAAATACCAATCTTGCCCCTGTGCAGGGCATAGCACCGTGTAGGGCTGAGACTTACTCTACTACCAGCTCAAAGTCTAACGCTGTAATTTTGAATCACATACGTAGTGTTACTGTGTTAGTGCAATTACCCATTAATAGTTTGATACTAGACCTCGCAATTTTGACCTAACCCGTGACTTGAAACTTAACTCAAAAATTGAAAGGAATGGTGTCCTTCCAACACGTGTATTATTCAGATAGAGGGTTCAGAATTATTAAAAAGCTAATTCTTTAGTAAGGTCAAGTGATCGGAATGCCTAGGTGCAGGTTGCTTCCGATCAGTAATATTAACGTACAAGTAATATTACAGCTTAATCTTGACTGAACCCTTCGGGTAGAACCTAATCGAACAATCGATCCGAGATGACGAATCAATCCGAAGGATTTGATGAGTCGTCAGAGTTTTACAACAAAGACGTCGGATATCGAGTTTAGAGCGTCAAGACCGAGCGTTGCAAGTCGAGGGGTAGCCTCACATTGGCCTAGCCATGTGGGTGCTAGGTTAGGCAAGACCCCTCGCAATGCTAGTCGCAAAGCCTAGCATGCTAGGCGTGCTAGGGCCATGCATGCTAGCTAGCCATCGCAAGCTTCGCAGCCTTGCGTGCTAGCATGCCATGCACCCAGCCATCGCAAGGCTAAGCCTAGCTAGCATGCTAGATTCTAGTACAAAGCATGGCCTAGCACTACTCGCAAGCATCGCAGCCACGCACCATGCGTGCTAGCCTCGGATAGCAGTAGCATCGCACAGCACCACGCACCAGCCAGCAGCGTGCTAGGCATGTTGGGCTGTGCGTGTGTGTGCGTGTGCCTCGCATAGCAGTGCCCAGCACAACGCACCAAGCAGCAGCTAAGAATTGCGTGCTAGCTGGCCTTGTGCTGGTTGGCTGCGCATGCATGCGCGCTGTGTGCGTGTGTGCTGGTTGGCTGGCCAAGCTGCCCAGCCTTGGTCCTAGGCACCAGCTGGCAGCCTTGGCAGCCAGCCACTTGGAGGGAAGGGTCGGTTTTGCTTGTGGGGACTAAGGGTTAGAGCTTTGCCTTGAGGAGCAAGGCTATGGTCCCCCCCCCCCTTGAAAATGGTCCTCACCTAATCTCTCATCCTCCTTGTGCCACTTGTAACTTATTGATTGAATTGCAATTTTATTTTTGTTTTGATTAAAATAAAATGGGAAAATTGAAAATCTCCCACATTGATTGTGAATGGGAAATCAAGGTTCATTTCCCTATGAATACCAAGGTTTTGGGATTTGGGAAGAACACTTGAGTGGAACTAAAGGGCATCTCCTTAGAAAAGTGAGAAAACCTTAAGTTCGTAAAACTCTAGTTTTTATTGGTCGGGTCCCAACTAACCTTCGGGACTTGGACCGTTCGGGTCGGGTTCGTGGGTACAAGCCATCGGAGACCTTAGCATTTGTGGGGTTCAAGTTTTGAAGTAAGAGCTCGGGTTCGAGCGAACCACGCGCCAAGGGTAAGAATGTCTTTTCCTTCTCTCTCTTAATTGTTGTTTAATTTGTGATTAGTGTGCGGGTCATAGGCGGGTTTCTCTTCCGCGTAGAGTCGGACTCTACGAAATTCAACAGCGGTATCGGAGCTGAGCTCACTTTAATTATTGTGACTAATAAATAATTAAGGTGATTTAAAATGGATTTAAATTTCTTGTTGTGCTTTCTAATTGAATTAGAAGCACGTTTTAATTTGTTTTAATCTCAATTTTTTTTAAATTTTGGCTGACGAACACAGATTTCGACTCAAAAATAGTGATTTTTGGGTGGAATCGATGTTCTAAATCGTTTCAAATTCTTTTAGGGTTGTCCAAAGCCAAAATCTACCCAAAAATATGTTTTTTGAGGGTTTTTTCGTTTTTGACGAAAATTTTTAAATCTTTTAACCTTGATTAATTATTGCATGTTGAAGGTAGATTAAATGTATGGTTGCATCCCTAATCTACTACAATTATAAACCTCATTAAGCATGTTTATGAAGTCATAATTGGTGCTTAATTTGGTGTGTTCATTTTTCACATAAACTTGAATTTTTCACATTGTTGCAAATAAATTGCTTCAAGTGTGAATGTTTATGGTGAACTTGCAATTTTGAAGCCCCTAAAAATTTCAAAGATCCAATGTTTAATTGTTTATTTGGTTAGAACTTTGATTGCTAAATTCCATGTTGAGCTAATTTTGGATTTAATCATTTTTGTGTTGATTAAAGTCCTTAAAGTTCAAAACTTGTGATTGAATTTTGATAAATCTTCATATTGGAAGATGTAGTTTTTCAATTTTACACAAGTTATTGTTGGGAAATTTTTCATTGGATGAAAGGGTTTAATTTTTCCAACCCCTTTAATTTTGTTAAATCTCATTATTAATTTACATTTGATTAAATTAATTATGAGTGTAACCCTTCAATTTTTGTAGCAAAAAGAAAAGACCTAAATTGTTTGAAGAATGGTTCTTAAATAATTTAGGCTTGTGCACCATTAAAAATTGAATTTAATTAAGTTGGACTTGTTTTAATTTCATTTTTGCCCTAAATTGATTCTAAAATAAATTTAGAATTAATTTTATGTCACACATATAACGGGATTAAAATCCCGAGAAAAAGCACGCAAATCGAGGCAAAACACCCAAGCGCCACCAAGGCTAGCCCAGCTGCTCACGCGACCCACGTGTGGCTGCCTTAGGTGCGCACAAGGGTGCTCCACCTCAAATTGATGTTGCTGTTGTGTGGCTAGGCTCATGTGCGGTGCTATGTGCGTGGTGCGTGGTGGATGGCTGCTGGCCATGCTTGTGCGTGTTGTTTGGCAGCGAGGCAGCAAGCCCCAGCAAGCCAGCCACTCGCCTGCCAGCGCTAGCAAGCAGCCAGCATGCGCAGCAAGCTACTAGTGCCAGCAAGCGTGGCATGTGTTGCTAGACATGCATGTCGGCACCCAGCACAGGCAGCCGCATCTCCCAAGTGCTGCTAGGCAGCCATGGTGCACATCCCACGATTTTTGGGTGGGTCGATTTCTTGCTTGAATTGGGCTATCGGTTTTTGCAAAATTTTTCCTTTTTAATTTTATTTAATTATTTTAACGAGGCTAGGCCTCGGTTTTTCCGGCCTTTACAAAATTTTAATTTTTGACAAAATTTGGGTTTAACCGACCTAATTAATTGGATTAATTAAGTTGGTTGCGGAATTTAGTGGGAGCTTCGTTAATTGCATGAACTAATTGCGTCTTAATCACATAAAAAGTTAAACAACTTTGAGTAGTTTTAATTAGGCGCGTTAATTGGATTAATCACCTAAGTTAGTTACTTGTTCGCACGCGTTATGCATTGTTACTTGTTTTTTGTTGTAAAATGCATGGGTCATTCACATATAGTGAATGGATGAATGGAAGATATATTGTTTCACAAGTTTCGTGAAAATGGCAACTAGTGGGGCCCGATTAGGATAGTAAATACGGATTACGATCCGTTATGTATTTTTGTAAATCTAAATACGGTCTGCGTACTGTTGCGTATTTTTGTACCTTAATATTTAGATTAATCCTAGTCGTAGTAGCTAGTAATTTTATTTTGGCGAAGATGTCTCAAGACGGCGTTTTTATAAAGACGGGGCAAGATGTAGACTCTTAAAGATTTGAAGATTTCAAGGGGTCACGCTAGTTGCCAAATGCATCTTATTTCATGTTTTCTATATATAATTGTTCTTATATATGTGAATGATATGTTAGGTGCATGTTTAGGATTTTAAATGTTGCGATAATTAATGGAGTTCACTTAAATCAACCAACATAGAAACCCTAGGTCCCTAAAATATTGAGCTAAAATATGCCATTCCAAGAACAACACTTACCGGACTAATGCGTATATGTGATGGGCTACGCCAAAGAGAGGCATCACTACATCCCTAGGAATGTAAGGTATACTAGGTATACAAGTTGTCTTGATTAAGCTCAACGATATCGATAAGGAGTCCTTAGATGTCGTGGCAATGGAGATAAAATGTCAAGGAAGCATTAGATGCGACGTTTTATCGAACCAAGAGTAGCTTGGAGCTATTAGCAATTGGATTGCTTACCCTAAAATATTAAGTGTTAAGACAAGCCAAAGCATGCTTAATCACTTTTTGATTTTTGGGATCTTGGAATCATTTTATTCTCGCCTAAAAGGGACTAATGTTAATGCGTGGATAGAATGCTCAATGAGATTAAAAATTTGCATGAACGCTTTAAATTTAAAACTTATTGGTTTATGAATGGTTTTTCATTTCAAATTCTTTCAATTGTAGAAAAATGTCTGCAAGTAACTCAAACAACTCTATGTGCTCGGAACTCCCCGACAAGTTGGCTTTCAGCCTTAACTTGGTCAACTTCAAGGAATGGGAGGAGGAACTCAGGAAAAACTCTTCGGAATTGTTGCTTGGAGTACACTCTTGATACTCCCATTTCAAGCTTCTTCTCTAAGGGAATCATGAGCGATGAGGCTCATGATATATGGTATTCCAATTGCAAGAAAGACACACATCTAATGGCTAATTCCATCCCGGAATATTGGAAGGAAAGCTCTCCTTCTATTTTCCGGATATTTTCCTCAAATCATTAAAGGATGTTGTCAATATAAGAGTACCAAGAGTGACAATGGAAACTATGATGGACTCGTGTTTGATTTGACTAGGTCACTCTCAAACATGAAGATAAAGCCACCGGATGTGGGTTGTCTTGCTAAGGAAAGGCGTCGGCTTTGGTCAAGGGTCTACAATACCAAATTGAGACCTGGCATGCCCCTCCGACCTCATGTGCTTGGAATGACTAGGCTCTTCAAACACATGCAGCTTCTCGGGATCTCATTGGAGGATGAGATGGCGGGGCATATCTTGCTTGCTTCACTCCACTCGGGCTGTGATGGACTTAGAGTGCATATAGCGGCGGGAAAGGAGACACGCTCTTTAAAAGAGGTGGTGCAACTACTCAGCCGAGCCACCGCCTATGGAGTGATCGAGAGGCCCTTAAGAGAAAGGAAGAGGGAGTTCAATAACAAGGCAAGGATGTGGTGCTTCTATTGTGGTGGGCAAGGCCACTACAAGAGGGAATACAAGCTCTTTCGAAAAGAGGAGGAGGAGAGGAATGTGGCATCTGTCTCAGGTATCTTCATCAACACTTGCGTTTAAAGCTATTCATAGGTATTGGATACCATGTATAACTCACTTTATGTATCCTTTTCAGGAACCAAGTGAGAGGGCATCACAAGTGACAGGGTATTGGATACCATGTGCATCAACAAGTTGACGACAAAGATGGTCTTTTGATCGTGCTTGTAGGTACATTTATTTTTCCTATGACTTGTAATTAAACAATGGTTGTTTCTTATGCTTTTGAACGTACTTTTGATCAATGGTGTTGGACACCAAGTTATTTTGATTACAAGACTTAATCAATGGTTGGTTTGTTAAAATGTCTTGTTTATATGTTCTATAAAATTGCATATGTTTAGACAAATTATTGATACTGCCAAAAGGGCTAAGACCATCGAGTCGAATCAAACCTACTTGTGGCATTGTCGTCTTGGCCACATTAACGTCAAACGCATCAAGAAACTTCTTCAAGAAGGTGTTCTTGACTCATTCGACTTGGAGTCGTTTGAAAATTACGAAGGATGTCTATTAGACAAGATGATAAAGCAGTCATTCTCCAAGTTGGGAGAAAGGGCAAGTGACTTATTGGGTCTAATACATACGGATGTATGTGGACCAATGAGTACACCCGCAAGGCAAGGTTATCGATATTTCATTACCTTTACCGACGACTATAGTAGATATGGTTATGTCTACCTTATGTCGAACAAATATGAATCTTTTGAGAAATTCAAAAAATTTCAGAGTGAAGTTGAAAATCAACTTGGCAAGAAAATGAAATCACTTCGATCGGATCGAGTTGGCGAGTATTTGAGCCATTAAATCGACAATCACTTGAAAGAAAATGGTATTCTTTTAGAGTTGACACCTTTCGGAACTCTACAATGGAACGAAGTATCCGAACGGAGGAATCGTACCTTGTTAGACATGGTTCGATAAATGATGGGTCTTAGTGAACTTCCTATCTCTTTCTGGGGACACGCACTTCTAACTGTGGCACTAACTCTAAACTGTGCTCCGTCAAAAGCTTTTGAAAAGACTCCATATGAATTATGGACGAAGAAACCTCCGAGGTTGTCTTTTCTTAAGATTTGGGGTTGCGAAGTATATGTCAAGAGATTAGTTTCTGATAATTTTCACCCAAAATCAGACAAGTGTTTCTTTGTGGGCTACCCAAAAGAAACCAAGACATCCTAGTTATGGATGAAGATGAGCCAGCGACATGCAAACAAGCTATGACGAGCCCCGACTCTGCTAAATGGTAAGAGGCCATGAAATCCGAGATGGACTCTATGTCTGAAAATCAAGTATGGGACTTGGTTAATTTTCCCGAAGGTTATTCTCCGCAACAAAAAGTCCCCCTACTTTTAAGGGTTGTTTATGCACTCTTTTGTCGTAGGCTCAAGTCATCCTCAGATGGTATATCTTATGACGCAAGGCGGTATTTCCCTTGCGCTTTGGGATTGAATCCAATGCTAAACGCATGGCCTCCCAATTGGCCTCTTCATCATAGAGCATGATTCAAAGTGTTGGCTCATAATGTTCAATGGGCAGAACGGCTTCAGTGCCGTATGTCATGAGAAACGGGGTTTCACCGGTTGCCCCTTTTTCGGTTGTTCTGATGGCCCATAGGACATGAGGCAACTCATATGCCCATAGACCGTCAGCTCTTTCAATTTTATTTTTAATACCGTCTAAGATCAGCTTGTTGAAGGCTTCAACTTGGCCATTTGCTTGGGGTTGGCCTACTGATGCAAAACAATGTGAGATCTCTTGATCTCCCAACCAATTTTTAAGGCCAGGCGTTTCAAACTGAGGGCGATTGTCAAAGACCATAGAGACGGGTACCCCGAACCGGGTGATAATATTTCTCCAGATGAAGGAGATGACATCCTTCGTCTTAATGCCCTTTACCGCCTCTGTTTCTACCCACTTAGTGAAGTAATCAACAGCAACCAAGATGTACCTTCGTCCGCTTGAAGCAGGTGTAAATGGACCTAGAATGTCCATCCCCCATTTCACAAAAGGTACTGGGCTGTAGATAGTCGTTAGATCAGCGGCCAGACGATGTATAAGCTTGCCAAATCTTTGGCACTTGTCACATTTCTTCACCAATTCCATGGCTCTGTCGCCTGCCCTTTTTGCTAGAGTTTTGTCGCCTATATGTGATGCACAAAATCCCAAGTGCAGATCCTGTAAAACTTCTTTCCCCTTTTCAGGGGTGACACATTTCAGCAACGGCTGGAGATAACCCTTCTTGAAGAGTTCTCCGTTATTGACCTCAACACTTGCGGCCCGCTTCTTTAGTGCGGCCGCTTCTGAAGGGGCATCCGGCAAAGTGTCGTTTACCAGATAAGCCCGGATGACATCCATCCAGGTCGAGCTTCGGTCAAGAACTCTAATGGGATCATGTTCAATGCTTCTTTTTTCCATGACTTCCCAAAAGATTGACCTAGGCGTATCACAAGATGCGGATGATGCTAGCTTAGAAAGGGAATCCGCCTGATTGTTTTCTGACCTGGGAACTTGGCTCAAATGAAATTCGTCAAGTGACCCAGCCTCTTCTTTGACCACCTGAAGATATTTGATCATAGCCGGATAGGTGGCCTCATAGTCACCATGGTATTGGCTGACGATCAACTAGGAATCAGAGCAAGCGTCAACTTTCCTTGCCCCTGTCGCCTTACACATACGGATACTGGCTTGTAGAGTCTCACACTCTGCCTCATTGTTTGAGGTCTGGAACTTGAACCGTAGCGCATATTCATATTTATCCCCTTCCGGAGACTGAGATATTACACCTGCACCACAGTCGTTCATGGTAGAGCTCCTGTCTACATACACTTTCTAAACCTGGTCAAGATTCTCTGGCTCAGCCGGCCTTGTCATTTCGACGATGAAGTCAGCAAACGCCTGACCTTTCACCGCCTTCCTAGGTTCGAAAGTGATTTCCAGACTTTGCATTTCAATAGCCCATTTGAGCATTCTACCAAATGACTCCAAGGTTGTCATTGGCCGCTTGAGGGGTTGATCTATGTAGATCACCACCAGATGTGCTAGGATGTATGGTTTTAACTTCTTGACTACCTTGAAAAGAGCAAGCCCAAAATTTTCAACCATGGGGTACCAGAGCTCAGCATTTCGAAGAACGTGGCTAATGATATACCAGAAGCTGAATGCCGTCTCTCTCAGCAAGGAGAACAGCACTGAGGGCATGATCCAAGATAGCTAAGTACCTGTAGAGAACCTCCTGAGGCAGAGGGCTTACTAGCCTTGGCAACGAATGCAAGTGCTCTTTCAATTTCTAAAGTGTCGCCTCAGCATCATCCTCCCATTCAAATCTTGGCTTCTTCTTGATTGCCTGGAAGAAGTAGAGGCACTTGTCACCTGGCCAGCTGAGGAATCTCCCCAATGCTGCCAGGCAACCAGTTAATTTTTAAACTTCCCTTACAGTGTGGGGCGACTTAATGTCAATAACCGCCTGATATCTTTTCTAGATTAGCCTCTGTTCCTCTTTGATCAACCAATAATCCAAGAAATTTCCCAGACTCAACACCAAAGACACACTTCTTGTGATTAAGCATGACCCGGTGCCGCTTGAGGGTGGTGAAGGTTTCTCGAAGATCGGCAAGGTGATCCGTCTATAGCTTGGATTTGACTATCATGTCATCAATGTACGCCTCTACATTCCTCCCAATTTGATTAATCAAGACTGTATTAATCATACGTTAAAAGGTAGCAGGTGCATTTTTCAGCCCAAACGGCATCTCAGTGTAGCAGAATAACCCTTGATCAATGACGAATGCCGTCCTTTCTTGATCCTTCTTCCACAAGGGTATCTGGTGGAAGCCTGAGTAGGCGTCCATGAAGCTCATCAAGGCATGGCCGACTGTAGAGTCGACCAAGCTGTGGATCCTTGGAAGTGGATAACTATCTTTCGGACATTCCTTGTTCAGATCTGTGTAGTCAACACACATCCGCCAGGTCCCATTCGGCTTTTTGACGAGGACAACATTGGCTACCCAATCTGGGTAGTAACATTGCCGGATGAACCCAGCCTTCAAGAGCTTCTTCACCTCGGCGGCCGTCGCCTGACTTCTTTCCTCACTGTGGTTCCTTTTCTTTTGCCTAACCGACTTTCTTTTAGGATCCACGGCGAGTTTATGCACAGCTAGATCCGGGCTAACGCCTGGCATCTCCTCGACTTCAAAGGCAAAAACGTCCTTGAATTCCCTCAAGAGGTCATGCAACTCTTCACCCATCTTAGAAAAAACAGTCGTCCTAACCTTAATTGTTCGGTTTGGACGAGTATCATCCAGAACAATGCCGATGTGATCACCAGCTGGCTGGAGACGTAGCTCGTTTGACCTTTCCCCGGTCATTAACTGCTATTGCCTCTCCTTCTTGACGGTTACCAATTGGTCCGCCTTTCTCTTTTTGTCGGCTGCCCTTGGAGTAGGCGCAACCGTTCTGACCTCATCAAGGTCTACAGACTCCTCATTCAGACTGGCTGCAGCCACATTCGAATTGACGTCTGAGAGATAGCATTCTCTCGCCGTCTTCTGGTCTACACTCAAGGAGCCTACAGACCCATCATCTCTTTCAAATATAAGGAGCATGAAGGCTGGAATGATGACCTCTTTAGACTCATTCAGCGTTGGCCTGCCTAGTATTAGGTTATAGGCGGTCAATTCCTCAACAAGGAACCGAACCACCATGTGGCGTCCTGCCCCCTTCTCGCACAACCTAATAGGTAGGTCAATTCTTCCCACCGGATGCACGACCCCTCCCCCAAATCCAACCAAGGGGTGTGAAACTTGGGTCATGCTACTAGGCTTGTACTTAAGCTTAGCCAAGCACTTCTGACTGATCAGGTCGGATGAACTCCTAGTGTGGATTAGGATCCGGCCAACCTTCTGATTGGCTATCTTGCACTCGATCACTATGGGGTCATCTTGTGGCCGCCTAACCTTGCCCCTATCCTTCTCAGTGATGAGGACGTCAGGGAATGTGTCTTTTGACGCTTGGCCCTCATCCACTATGCTGACATCCAGCCTCCGGTCGTAGTCCTTGGTGCCCCGGATGGTAGGACCCCCTCCGGCAAAGCTGCCTGCTATAGTATAGATCGTTTCATCATTAGTGTCCGAACTATTAGCAGATTGGGGTGCCTTCTTGGACGGCTGTCCATTGTTTGTTTTGAGGGTCACCTTGGACTTCAGAATATAGGACTTTAACACTACTTTATCAGCTAGACAGTCCAATAACCGTTTGAGGCTGTAACAATCATTGGTTTCATGGCCTATGTCCTCATGAAAGTGACAGTATTTGTTCTTGTTCCGGTTTCTGACGGAACCCTTCATTGAAGTCGTTTTATCGATAGTCACCCGGTCTTTGATCTCCATGAGGATGGAGTAACTGTCCTTGTTGAACTCGTACTTGGGGGCGTACGGTTGCAACTCTTTCTTCTTCTTCTAGGATGGCTGACCAGAGTTGTCTGCCACCCAGACTTCCTTGCTTTTCTTACTCTCTTCCTTTTTAGCTGGTTGAGTAGACCGGCTCTCTTTTTTGTTGGACTTTTTGGAATCCGACGGCTACTTGATGGCGCACAACTTAGTAAACTGTATGCAGGATTCTGCTTCCATCAAAGCATTCTGGAGGGTACCGACCCTTTTTCTGACAAGATCAAACTTGAAAGTTGATCCGTCTTTCAGATCCTTAAAGAAGTCTGTGTAAGCCACTTCGTTAGACAGTCCTTGAATCTGGATTCTCATCAGATTGAACCGCCTGACGTAGGACCTAAGCCCTTCTCCATCACCCTGTTGTATGGCACTTAAGTCCAAACTTATTTTTTTTCCCAGGGATATTCATAGAGAAGTTAGAGGCGAACAAGTACGCAAGCGTCTTGAAGCTGTTTATGCATCCGACTGATAAATTGCCAAACCATCGTTGGGCAATGCCCTTCAATGTAGCCAGGAAGCATCTACACCAGGTGGCGTCATCCAACCCCTGTAGGTATATGAGGTTGGTGTATGGCCATCAGGTGGTCTTCTGGGTTGGTGGTACTGTCATAGGCACCCACCAACACATTCTTAACCTTGGCAGGCTGGGCCGCTTCGATTATCTCCTTAGAGAACATAGAAGGTTTTTCCCCAAGGTTTAGCAGCCGAAGCTGCCAGTCCATTTGCTGGACAATCTGTGCCGCCTGACCTCTAAAGAAGGTTGGTTGCATGTATGGTAATCCATACAACATGTATGGCTGTTGGGGCACATACGGAGCCGGATGGATAATCTGAGGGCCAATACGTGCGGACAAGCCGCGTGACTGACTCTCTTGGTTTGTTTTCGAGCACCTCATTGAGGTATTTAAGAAACTGTCTGGGTAAGTTAACGTTGAAGCCGACTTGGACAATTGTTGACTTCTCTTCTGCTTGATTAACATCCAGGCATCCGAGAACGTCTTCCTTGAACCATCCAGCTAAACATGTCGGATGGCCTTCCTCTTCCCTGATTTAGAGAATCGGATCCTAGTTATATCCCCCAAGGGCCGGTTCCCATCCTTTAGCTTGGGATGAGGAGTAGGGACACGGTCCTGAACTGGATTTTTCTTTCCCGTGGTAGAAGGCTTTTTAGCTGACTGACCCTTGTTGGAGCCACCAGTCTTTTTGTTTAGGAGGTCCTTGATCTCCCCTTTGAAACTCGTCATGAATTTTATAAGCTTGTCTCTGGTGACGGGAGCGGCACCCTCCGCCGCCTGGGGTTGTCCAGCCGGTATACCAATTGGATTGCTTGGACCAGCTTTGTCTTCGCCCCGTTCCCTTGTTTCCTTGGAACGCGTGCGTCTTGTTCTGAATGACCCATTTGGGGCCACATAGGTGTCGACCTCAAGGTCGTCACTACTATCTTGGTCCGTATGGACCTCGGCTTCGGCCGTAGACCGTTTGCCTTCAGCAGGAGGTACAGGCTCTTTAGATACCATCTTAGAAGTACCCTCCCCACAGACGGGGCCAAATGTTTCGGGGTCCTTCAGGAGAGTTACAATACCAAGATTGGAATTTGGACATCTGTACCTGCAAAACCACGGAGACTCCGGTTAGGGGAGTTCCGCCTCCAACGATCAAGTTAGAACCGGAATGGAGTCTTTAATAAATGCGGAAGTTAATAATCTTCTCGAATTACGAGATCGAGAGTAAATGATCAGCAATTAATATGCTCGGTTTCTTATAATTGAATATTTATAGGGTCTTGAATAATGTGCCACGTGTCCAGAGGGGATTGGTTCTGGTAAACCACTCTGAAAGTGACACGTGTCACACGCTGATTGGTTCATGTGGCATAAGGTATTTTTACCCCAAACATCCCTTATGTGCTCTCAAAATATTTATCAATAATTTTAGAAAAATACAAAAGCCATAATAATCAATTATAAACAAAAATAAAATTCAAATCCTAGCTAACATATAATAGTATACCAATGTAGGAAGTTCTTGATGTAAAACAAGAGTGTTGGAAGAAAACAAGAGAGAGAGAGACTCACAAATGAAAGGGAAAAAGTCCCACATTGGTTGGGGGGAGAGGTTTTGCCTTTTTTATATGTTTTAGTGTCTTAGCACTACTTGGAGGTGGGTGTTTTACCACACAAACGCGCGCGCGTGCTGGGCTGGGTTGGGCTCGGGCCTTGGGTCTTGGGAAATGCGATGCGCAGGCGTGGGTCTCTCTTATTTTTTAAAGAAAGTTTATTTCTTATTTAGCTCCCCTTGTAATGAAATATTGTAATCAGTTACAATATTTTGTTTGACTGTTTCAGATTCTTCCTTTGATTGTGGAATATAACGGAAAGTCGTTTCCTTGATTTTGGCTGAACATTGCTTAGGTTTCGGCCATAATTATCTGGTTGTTTCTTCTTTTTTCCTTGTTGGTCGTTGCTCTCTGTTACTCTATATAAACCACCTTTTGTTTCTTCGATGAACATACAGAAATTCACAGTCTTCTCTTTTCTCGAAAATAATCTAGACATGAGTTCTTATTCTTTCTGTTTTTTGGGCAAGTGTTTAGAATTCCAGTCGGCTTTGTAAGTGCACATAAACTCCGGAGTCGTGCTTATCCTGGAGGGCAACCGCTTCTTGTTTACTACACTAGGAGGTAGTGCAGAATCGTCTTTTAGGTCAGTGGTTCGCCACGACACGGCTTCTGTCAGTTTTGGTTCACGCATCAAGAGAGAAGTAATTTCTGTTTTATTGCTTATAGTATAACAATGTAAAAGACGACTATGGCTTCCAAATTTCTGATTCCTGATATGTCTTGAAAGGAATGGTGTCCTTCCAACAAGTGTATTATTCTGATAGAGGATTCAGAATTATTACAGAGCTAATTCTTCAGTAAGGTCAAGTGATCGGAATGCCTAGGTGGAGGCTGCTTTCGATCAGTAATATTAAGGTATAATTAATATTATAGCTTAATCTTAACTGAACCCTTCGGGTCGAACCCAATCGAACAACCGATCCGAGACGACGAATTAATCCGAAGGATTTAATGAGTCGTCGGAGTTTTACGAACTCAGACATCGGATATCGAGCTTAGGGCGTCAAGGCCGAGCGTCGCAAAATCACAAGCAATAAGTACGAACATAGCCGTAGCATCACATTAGCCTAGCCATGTGAAGTGCTGGGCTAGGCTAGCTCATCGCAAGCCTAGGCGCACCATGTTTGTGCTAGGCGCACAAGGCAGCCCATCGCAACCTTCGCGTGGCATGGCAGCACCTTTGCACAGCCCATCGCACAAGCACAACACCATCGCAATGCTAGGCACTGGCGTGCGTGTGCATGCCCAGGGCTATCGCACTAACCGCAGCACAAGCATGGCACTGTCGCATGGATAGGCCATGCGTGTATGCGCATGCGTGCAAGCCATCGCAGCATCACAGCACCAAGCTTCGCATGCTTGTGCGTGTGGCTGGCGAGGCGATGCCCAACATGCGTGGCTCGCTAGCAGCACGCATGCTGGGAGTGCAAGGGCATGGGAATGCGAGTGCGAGCAAGCGAGAGTGCCAAGCTAGCAGCGCCCAGCGCTGGCACGCAGCAGCAGCAGCACGAGCATCACCCAACATAGCTCGCACATGCTGGCTGGGGTGATGCGGGCTTGCTGGCTGGTGCTAGATAGTAGCACTAGCTGGCGTGCTAGCTGGCTGCCATCCCATCAAGCATTGGTTCCGGTTTTGTGAGGATGTGGGGACCAACCAAAGCCTTGGGGACCAAGGCAATGGTCCCCCCCTCCCCATGCCTTGAGCCTCACTTATCTCTCTCTAATTGCGCCACTTGTTGCGTTGTGATTGATTTAATTATTTATTTAATTTAGAATTAAATAAATTGTTAAATTTACCAACTCTCCCACATTGGTTGAGTATACCTTGAAATTCAAGGGTTCATTTCCCTATAAATACCAAAGTTTGGGTATTTGGGAAAGAACACTTGAGCTGAAAAGTAAAGGAAACTCCATTGTTGAGTATACCTTGAAATTCGTAAAACTCCAAGTTTATATTTTGTCCGGACCTTGACTAACCTTCGAGGCTTACGACGATCAGGTCGGGTTCGAGGGTACGATCCCGTTGGAGGCCTCGCATTATCGAGGTTGAAGTAAGAGCTTAGTGTAAGTGCGAAGCACGCGTCGAGGGTATAATTCTTATCCTTTCTCTTAATTAAGTTTTAATTATGTTTTACTTGTATTAGTTGAATTAATTATGGGGGCGGGTCTTGGGGGGCTTCATTCCGCGTAGTGAGGGTCACTACGAAACCCTACATGTCTAAGTTATAACCTCTTGATGGAAAGAATTACAAACGTCGGGCTCTTAATTTTAAAACTCGTATTTTTCTCGATTTGGCTGTCGAACCCAGATTTTCGCTCAAAAATAGTGATTTTTGGGTGGAATCGACATTCTAAAACAGATTCAACCCTCTTTGAAAATTGTCCAGAAGCCAAATTCGAACCAGAAACCCAAGTTTTTGGGGTTTTTTCAACGAAAATTTTAAATCTTTTTAAGCCTTGATTAATGCAAGCATACAAGGTTAGATTAAATGCATTATTGCATCCCTAATCTACTACTATTTTAAATATCCTTAAGCATAATTATGGAGTTTTAATTAGTGCTTGAGTTGATATGCTATTTGTCACACAAACTTGATTTTTCACAATTGTGCAAATAAATTGCATTAATGTGTGAATGTTTGATGTGAATGTGTAGTTTTTAAGTTCTTAAGTATGATAAAGATCTAATATTTAAAAGTTTAAATGATTGGAACTTTAACCCTAAATTCCATATTGAACAAAGTTTGGATTTTTTTCATATTTGGTTGATTAAAATCCTTGA